GTGTGTGTGTGTGTGTGTGTGAGTGAGTGTGTGTGTGTGTGTGTTACCTTTGCGTATCTCATCACGGATCTGGGACTCCATCTCCTCCATCTGTAACAGAGTCTTCTGCCAATCCCTCTCTGCCCTGCGGCTCTTAGTGCAGTAAACCACCAGCGCTGAACACACACACACACACACACACAGATGTTATTCATGCTGGAAACACAAACACACACACAACAGCTTCCAAACAGTCCAAGAGATCAGTAGTGGAAATGCTTCTCTTTTGCATTAAAAACCAGTACAAAGCAGAAGCATCAGAGTGAGGCGCTGATCTGAAACTCTCTCTCTCAGATGATGGTGATCTCCAGCAGATGAGCTGATCCACAGATCACCTGAGCGTCTGATGAGTGATGTATGAGGAGAGACGTACCCACAGTGCACAGCAGCAGCAGCACACAGCACACCACGATGGAGACGATGATGGCCAGCTCGCTGCCTCCACCCATCTGCACCATCGCTATCACCTTCTGGAAATGACCCACACGCACCTGCAACACACCGGCACAGCATCACACTCACATCTCACTGAGCTCCTCAAACACACACACACACGCATGATGTCAGACAGAACATTCTATTCTATTCTATTCTGTATCTACAGAGGTTAGTTCACAGTTGGCTAGTGCTGATATAGTATTTGAGTCTGATGAAACTGAGTCTGTGTCTCTCACAGTCAGTTTTATGATACATGCTGCTCATCATTCTCCATGATCCAATAACCAAATGAAATGATTTTGAATAAAAGCAGGTTTTCAGTGCAAAAGGATCTTTTATGACTGGAAGGGTGCTGTAGGAAGAACAGCCATGCTGGAAGTGAAGATTATCCGATCAAATCTAAGATATTTAGGTCCATGGATCGAGGAACGAACTCAAAGAAGGTTATGAAAACAAAACATTAGACAACCAAACAAAATAATATGTAGGCTAATTTACTTGAGTTTCTGACTAAATGTTTGATTTGATGTTATAAATGAGTCTATTTATAAATACCTAAAATGTTATAAATTAGTCTATTTAAAAATGTTAATTTAAATGAAATCATTATGTAAAAAATCATTTGACATAAACGACTGAAGACTTGTTGAATGAATGATTCAGACATCAAATACATTTTAACGGTCGCCACTAAATGGCATAATGTAACATAATATGAGAAGTGTAACATTAGTTCCAAAGGTCAAAATGACTCATTTTGATTGCAGCTGCCGCAACATCAGAGATTATATCCGGGCTATAACATTTTATCCCAATACTTTCGTTATTATTTAATGTTTGCAATACAGAAATGTAGCCTACTGTAGACTGTTTCAAACATAAAGCTTACATGATGAGCGCTGCTCTCTCTGGATCAGCATAATTATTTACGTAGCAGAATCATCATTTAGGAATTGCGTGTGTTTGAATCGAGATTGCGATTTTTTAATGATTTCTCGTGCACACATATGAGCCTATAGCCTATGTATTTTTGTAGCCATTTGTCATATTTGTACACGACCTCAAAAGTAACCTGGGCCCAGGCAGCCCCCCCGCTTCTGCGACCATGTTTAGGTCTAATCTTCACATATACATCTTCAGATCACTTGAATAAACATTCTTGGGCGACTTATGATGCTCTGTTCACTGTATGGAGGGGAGATCCTTTACATTATCTGATTCATGTAGACATGGATGGAAATGACGGTAAGTAAATGATGGCAGAATTTGCATGTTTACGTCCTAATCCTGTGGTTTGCAGTCACTGTCCATTAGTCCTGTTCATAAAACTGGCAGTATGCAGGTCTATACATCTTGCCTAAACACAGTGCATAAGTACAGCCGTCCTCCCGTTCCCATGAAACAGCGTTCCTCATGAGAAAGTGCTCTGAATGCTTGACTGGGCCTCAAGACTCAGATGTTTGTTGACATGTGTTTCTTCAGACGTTCAGTGCTCTCTCTGCTCTATTAGCTGCGTCACGGCCTTCAGACCGCAGCGTGTTAAATAGAGCTGCTGCTGTTTCAGAGTCAGACCAAACAAAGCGCAGGGGATTTCACTGCTGATATGAGGGCTTGATTAACGCTTGTTTTGGTGTCTCGTCCAGCGCATTCCAGTGCGTCGTCCTCTTTTGCAGTGTGGATAGAGTCTCGTTACGCTGGCAGCGTGATTAGCGTCAGATACAGCGCACTGATACGGATGATGAGGGTGTGTGTGTGTGTGAGGCACAAAATAAAGACATTCAGGGTCCAGTCACAGTCTGTAGGTCACAGTGAGGTGTGAAGATGAACCTCTGCTTTACACAGAACGACCGCTTCTTTGAAACGTGTAACCGTGTAAATCAGCATCAGTGGTGCTTATCAACCCACAGGATACTCCTAATTAAACTACTGCAGCCTCAGGACTGTATAACATCAGTAACGTAATTATCACCATGAACACTGAACGATACTCTTAATGCATTTAAACATGCTTCATGTTCATTTCTGTTACAGAATTTATTAAACAAATGCTGCATATATTTAATATTCAAGTTTGACTATATTAAAGCGATAGTTCAACAAAAACGGTCGTTCTAGAGCACAAAAGTAGATATTTTACAGTTTAAAGGATATTGAAGTCTGTTGACTTTCAATGGATGGACAAAAACACTGTCTCAGCATATCTGCTGTTGTGCAGTCATTTATACAGAGGGAAAAATTGGAGTTATCATGAGTGTGTAAATATTACTGAGAGAGCTCATTTAGACATATTTCAGAAAACACAAGCTATGAGGTGCCATTCATATTCTTCTGTAAGATTATGTTGGGGTTTTTTGTAATTTGTAATTTTTTTGTTTTGTTTTTATCTCTTATGATTCTGTGCAGATCTTGGTCTTTGTTTTAAAAAAAAAAGTTGACACTTCTCTAACATGGGTAGATTTTGACTTTGTAAGTGTAAGTTTTGGTCAGAATTATTTATTTTTTTTGCACAAGGATTTGTGGCTGTATTTTCTGCTAACAGCTGTAAGTGTGTGTGTGTGTATCAGTGTGTGTATGAGTGTGTGTGTGTGTGTGTGTGTGTGTGTGTGAGAGAGTGTATGGAGTGTATGAGTGTGTGTGTGTGTGAGTGTGTGTGTGTATGAGTGTGTGAGTGTGTGTGTGTGTATGTGTATGAGTGTGTGTGTGTATGAGTGTGTGTGTGTGTTTGTGTATGAGTGTATGAGTGTGTGTGTGTGTGAGTGTGTGTGTGTATGAGTGTATGAGTGTGTGTGTGTGTATGTGTATGAGTGTGTGTGTGTATGAGTGTGTGTGTGTGTGAGTGTGTGTGTGTATGAGTGTATGAGTGTGTGTGTGTGTATGTGTATGAGTGTGTGTGTGTATGAGTGTGTGTGTGTGTGAGTGTGTGTGTGTATGAGTGTATGAGTGTGTGTGTGTGTATGTGTATGAGTGTGTGTGTGTATGAGTGTGTGTGTGTGTGAGTGTGTGTGTGTATGAGTGTATGAGTGTGTGTGTGTGTATGTGTATGAGTGTGTGTGTGTATGAGTGTGTGTGTGTGTGAGTGTGTGTGTGTATGAGTGTATGAGTGTGTGTGTGTGTATGTGTATGAGTGTGTGTGTGTATGAGTGTGTGTGTGTGTGAGTGTGTGTGTGTATGTGTGTGTGTGTGTGTGTGTGTGTGTGTGTGTGTATGAATGTATGTGTGAGTGTGTGTGAGGACTCACGGTGACGGGCAGTTCTCCAGTGCTGGCGCTCAGGGATCTGTTGATGGTGCAGTGGAACAGCTGCTCGTTGTGGAAGGTGATGTCACAGAGATCTGAGCCAATCGTCACAGAGTATTCCTGCAGCGTCAGGTCCAGCTCGCTTGGCCCTTTCTGACACACCAGCACACAAACACATGCGGAGCCTGTTACGCTTCATGATGTTAAATACACAGATACTGTATGTGACGGAGGACTCTGTCCAGTATTTCACAGTGGAAATAAAAACCATGTGATTGACAGAACGTCCTGTGATAATTAGCCGCATACTTTGATAGCAAACAAAGAGACACTGTCTTCACGTCTTCATCCTTCCTTCCTTCCTAATTCTTTAGGAGAGAATGAAAAAACTCCCTGGCTCTTCTGCGCCTGTTAGGTACTTCCTGCCTGACCCTCAGAAACTCATAACATCCCGCCACACAGATCTGGACTTCCCCAACACTTGTGTGTGTGTGTGTGTGTGTGTGT